ATTAATCACGAAACTTCAACACTACGATGTAAGAAGTGGTGCTCTTAAATTGATTATTTCATATTTAAGAAACAGTACACAAAAAGTTGTCATTAATAGTATGAGTTCTTCCGAGTCGATAGTACAAATGGGCATGCCTCGTGGCTCTATTCTCGGCCCCTTTCTAAAGAACCAGTGGTTAATTAAACTAAAGAGTGAGTTTTCTAGCTAGTTTAGATATATGAGGGCCCAATTTAAACTTCGCGTTAACTGTAATTCCGAGAAAAATAGTGCATTTAAGAAGGTTTAGCTCCCCCATGTTTAAAAGCACACTGGTATTAACCTGTTTAACATTATACGTGGTGAATTTAATACATTTCGTTTTATTACTGTTTAAAAGTAAATTGTTTTATTTGTGTATTTTATTTTTGTTATAGCATTATTCACTATGTCATATTTTAATAATTACATTTGAGTCGGAAAATCAATGAAGTATCATCAGCAAACAAAAAATTATGATTGTAGCACAAATGGGTCGAGTCAACCGGGGAAGAACCACGCTGTCACAGAATACCACCGTAAAACAGCAGCTAATTGCTGTTGTGTTTCGTATGGTGAGTGTAGAGATCCGGAGATCCTTTTTTACTGGAAACGAGGCATTCCATCTTAGTCCTCAGGAGCATGACAACGCATCTGCGTTTTAATTCTTTATCGAGGATAAATGTAGATGTCTATGGGCCAAAGCGTCCACTTACCATCAGGTGGACTGCGTGTTCGTTTGTCACCTTTATTCTACATTAAGTCATTGTTTATTAAATCGCGTGATATATATCCCCGAAATCGACGTAACCCAGAAAAACTAGTTCTAGATATTATTCCTGGAATCGTTAAATACAACAAAAGTTGCCTAAATATGTGTATAAAAATATTTAATAAACTACCTAATGAATTTAAATTATTAAGTGAAAGATTATTTAAGAAACATTTGTTTAATTGGTTAAAAACCGAATGTTATTATGACGTAAAAGATTTTTTAGACTGTAATTAATTAATATTGTTGATTCTGTATTTGCATGCTATTTACCATTGTTAGCGAAACACGATTGCACTAGACAAATTGTAAGATCTTTTTATACCGTGATTCTTGCAAATAAAAATGTATGATTATTAAAAAAACTATATCATGGTTATTCCATTCCAAATAAGGTAAGCTGCTAATATTAACTATTAACAGGAAGAGCCAAGAATTTAGCCTTGCGGAACACTCACATATAGACCCGGAAGTACTCTAAATAATCACAACTGTTACTTTTCTTTAATAATAATAATAATTTATTTATTTCTCACCACAAACGACATTACATTATATTAGTGTTACATGTCTATTTTAACAATATTCTGTCATTCATGGGAGACTGGTGCCCGTGTTCAAAGATTTACTGGCATTTACATCTAGTATAATATTATACAGAGATCACATAATGTTAATAAATAGACAATTTTTGGTGCTATTTATTATATAAATACGGACCCAAAAACGTGAAGAATTTCTTAACAAAAAACGTGAAGCAAGGCACTGACTGAGCTACCAGATGATTACGGAGATATTCCTTTTGAGCTATTTTTGAAATTGTATGTTGTCTTAAAACTATATGAAGCACAAATAATTGTCGAACTGTAAGAACTTCGCTAATTTTATACACGTCTAAAGTTGGATATAAGTGAGATTTACAATGGATAACTTTTAAAAGTGGTCTTTGCGCACGTTCGATTTCAATAATATGTGTTTTGGCTGCTCCACCAGACTTCAATTCCGTATGTTAATAAAGATTGACATAAGGCATAATAAGCCATTTTTAGAACTTCTATATTGTCTTAATATGTAACATGTAATAAGTTTGAATTCTATATCATAATTATGTAGCTTCCTCATTAATGTCTGATGGTGAACGCAGTCGAAAGAAAGCCTTGGAAAGATCACAAAATATAGCTAAATTATCCTCTGAATTCTTATATTAAAATATGTTTATACAGGTCAACACTGGGGTCAGTTGTCTAGCGACGTCTTGTAAAACCAAACCGATTTTTATGGAGCAATTTATTCACATTAAAAAAACTTAACATTTGATCTAGAATATTTTTTTTCACGTTTTACTGAGCGTTGGCAGTACAGAAATAAGTCTAAAATTAGTGGGGTCCAGTGTACTACCAGATTTAAATAAAGGTAAAAAGTTAGGGCGCGATTTCATCTATTATAGACGCAAACGGAAATCCCCCATAGATCTGCTGTTTTATTAATATCAACAGTTTTGAAATATTTTACAATAACTCATGATAATATTTTATGAAATGCAATTTATTTTACAGACAGTTACATTTTGTTTGAGTCATGACTTTGGAGAAGAATTGAGTGACTTTCTGAGTCAAGATGAATGTTGGTAAAATATTGTTCAAAAGCCGTTGCAACATTAAGAAATTATGCAATGAAATGTCAACAGACTTTTGGCGATAGATCATTAGTTAATTTATATATTATTATTATAGTTAGAGAGACAAATAATGTTCGACAAATGACTAAGTAATAATGTTTGAGAGACCACGTTTAATCGACAGTGTGAAGGAGTTTCAAGGTTTTATTCCAAGAACAGAGAAAATTTTAGAAAATGTAAAAGATAGAACAGGATATTTGAGGATAAGGTTTTCCTTTTAAATTTAAAACTTTTCTTAAATAGGGCATATAGGCTTAATATGTTAAATAAGACGCAGTAGACATTAAAAAGATTGAGAATGTTGAGATGAAAACGGATCGAAGCCACTTGAGTTTAGTGCGGTATTCTGATACATGGTTATTTTTACGAAGTCCAAATATATACGATAGATTTGGGAGTCGCTCAAGTTTGTTAAATTAAATTACAATAAAACCTGGTTAAGTGGGACCTGGATAAGTGAGAAACCTCTAATATTGGCAACTACAATGAGGTCCCGGCACTTTTTCATCGAATTACCTCTGTTAATGGGACTTTTCGAACCCGGTTAAATGAGATTTGATTTTTAGGTTTTTTTCGATGTTTACCTATATTGGACTCTGGAGCTCAATTCCCTTTATAAGTGAGACAATTTATCAGGTTGGGACAGGTTTCGACACGATTGTTTGCAAACATTTGATTTTTTCGCACGTGCTTCGTTTGTCGGTACTATCTCAAACTTTGACTTACAAACAAGGTAATAAAAGTTCACAAAATGTCCAAACGTAAATATAAGACAGTATCAGCATCTGAAAAACTAGAGCTTCTATCAGATTATGATTATGAAAAGTCGCGTGAGAGTTCGGAGTGTAAGATACCAAAGTTAACCCTGTATAGAATTATTCAAAACAACGAGAAAATTCGGTCTCATTGTATTGATGGAAAAGGAAAACTAAAACGAATACGATCAACAGAGTATCCTGAACTTGAAAAACGTCTTTCGACATGGATATAGCAGGTACACAATAACAACATTCCAATAAGCGGACCAATGATTAAAGAGGAAGCTCAAGAATTTGCAAGTAAGCTCCATATTGATAATTTTTCTGGTAGTTTTCGGGCCTCTGTAAATAAGACAACTAAATTTTAAACCTGTCTAATTAGAAAACTGGATAAATAAAAACTTCTTTAAATGGTACAAAATCTTAGGTCCCTTGAGATCCCAATTAATCAGGTTTCATTGTAAATTGTTTGGAAAGACTTCAAAAGACGTTTATGTATCATCTTTGGGTTACAAAAACTCTTATTCGTCAGCTAAATGCTCATGAATTTAGACTCTTATACTTTAAGCGTCTTTAAGTTGTGTTCAACACAGGAGATTTACAGCCAATATTTTATTTCTGCACAAACTAATCAACGGATATATAGACAGCCCTCAATTGCTTGGTAAAATAGAGTTTTATAGACTCTTATCCATTAGTTCAAACACACGCTCATACAGAAAGCACATGCGATATAAGGATTACCTTTTATCGCATGTGCTTTTTGTACAATAGAATTAATAATGATAAAGATATATTTAACCCCTCTGTCTCTTCCTTTAAGAGAAATTTATTTAAACTAAAAATTTTGTACTTAGTTAAATTTAAATTAATCAAGTACAAAGTATGATTTTGAAGCAAGTTATGTTCATAACGGGAAGGGCATAAAATATATTCGTTAATGCCTTTTTTAATATTCGAGCCCACAATGTCATTTATCTACCAAAATCTAAAAATCCATCATTTCATTACATCCGGTGGTGGTTGTAAGCCCAATACCATGCTAGTAAAAGTGACTATCATGGACTTTAAGGTAACGGTCTGAGCTTATTAACCTCTCAACCCCCAAAGCGGTTTCATGAGACCGCGACCATATTCTGTCAATCTCTAGCGGTCTGATGAGGTCGCCCTTACCCACAGCACTTAAACCCATAAAAACTTATATATAGAGACTACTTTTCTAGGAAGAAGTTTGACATTATATAATCAATATGAAATACTCTATCCTCTAGTCACTAGAGTCTAGTGCAATAAAAAAACTGTTATCTACGTTTATTTTGTACGCCATTTTCGCGTGAATGTTATTGTGTTGATTTTTGGATTTTTCTAGTATTTTATTAGTGTTTTAGTGTAGTGTTTTATTATAAAATTGTAAGTGTAATTGTAAGTTTTTGTGTAAATATAATTTATCTTTTTACGTAAATAATTTCGAGTAATATATATTGAAATAATTGTGATTTTCACGATGCCGACATTCGCTTGGTTTATTTTTTTTTTGTTATCAAAATACAATAAAATCTTTTTGTAATGAAGTAAAACCTTACTTTTGCTTAGACCGCAAGATAGAGAATTTTGTATAGATTTTATAATGCTAAATTTTTTCATAGAAAAGTGGTCTCTAAATATAAGTTTTAATGGTTTTAAGTGCCGTGGGTGGGTGCGGTTGCATGGGATTTTTATGGCGCTTGAAGGGTTAATTATACTGACTGGTTACCAAGTACACATAGATACTCACGCAAAGCGACATGTGCGGCCACATCAGGCGGGAAGTTTCTGCGTGGTGAGCTCAGTACGCATAATGCCAGTGATCGAGCGCCCAGTTCGCTAGCCTTAATTAGCACATTCCTGGAATTAACACATTAACATTAATACCAACATAAATACTAAAATACCTAACAGTTATATCTAAGTTTGTTACTTGTAACAGTTGTGTAGCGAGCTCTCCGCGGCCGTGTGGTACTTAGCCACATACTTGGGGCTCACAGTGTGGATGATGTGCCGGCATCGGAGCTGGTAGCCCGGGGTCACGACAACCTCGCCCGTGCGACATTCTGAAAAAGTTACCGTGAGTTTTAGTACCCGTATAACGAAGTTTTTGTGTAACATAAAACACAGGAGTAAATCGATATAAATTTAATACAGAAAGTCAATTTAAGGAAAAATGCAATAACCAAAGACCCGTTTTACTGGTAACGAGGCATATCACCTTAGACCCCAAGGGAAAATGCATGTGCATTTTGATTCATAATCAAGCGTAGATGTTGCGCGTGTATATCCACTTACAATCAGGTGGATTGTGTGCTCGTTTGTCATCCTTATTTTACAAAAAAAGTAAAAACATAAATTGTATTTTCTAACACAAATTATAAAAGTTATAAGGCATATATCGCTAATTGAAAAAAAATCATTAACATATTTTTTTTCGGCTAATGTTTACTGTAATAATTTTTGCTCACTCATACTTATTTAAGAAAAGGTAAATTATCTTTGCGGTTTTTAAACATCATTTTTACCGTAAACCCCAATTTATAATAACAACCAATTTTAAATTGAAATTGAAAACTACATGCGATTTTTAAATGTAATTAAAATGCATGTTTATTTTATTTATTATATTACATTATTTTGTAGTTTTATTATATGTTAGTAATATTAATCTAAGAACCTTAAGTAAATGACATTACTATCTTGCAGGAATAACATCGGGCTTACCAAGCGCCCTTGTGATAATCTCTTCCTTTAAGTCAGGTCCGGCGACCTGCAATATCCTCTCGCTAACCGCGTTGCATTCCGAGAGAGTTTCGTTTGTTGTATTGGTTACCGCATCAACATCCAATGTTGTGATATCACCTTGCCTGTAAAGTATTTCAACAAGAATTTTTGAGAAAAGCGATTATATACTAAAGTAATTGACTATCCGCCTTACTTATTTGCATTAATACAAACATTTTTATGAAGTTATTGCTTGTAAGTAATCGTATCTGCTACATAATTTTAAAAGTCGGTTATTTAACACTATATTAAACAATGAAAAGAAGTAAATTATTTTTTATTATTATAAGCCACTGCGTAACTAATATCCCGCTTGATGGTAAGTGGTAGTACAGGAGAAAATGGTAAATCGCACTAACTTAGCTTAAAAAAAGTCTATTCATATTCACTCTTGTCTTTAGGTTTTTTGAAAAAATAATTTGGTGGTTTTCTATTTTTCTTCTTCTATTATAGATTATGAGCCAAATTTATGGTTTGGGTGGTAATTTTTGATGACCTTGGATTTTATAAAAGAAAACACGATAGCATGTAATTTTTTCAATAAAAAAATTTGGAAAGTAGGCTGCAATTAGTTACATTTCTCCATGATACCACAATATTTTTACGAATAAATTCATAGAATCATTTTTAAAGCATAGTAAATAATCACATCTAAGTTCTCATAAACCATTTTTTGAATTCATAACAAAGTTTTGTAAAAAACGTTGTTTGGCGCTTACTTAGTATTTTTTTCTGAGTGCGTGCTCGGTATAGCTATCCCATAATTTGAGTATTATGAAGTACATTGCATCACTTTCATTTTGACACTCCCTCAGTCGTCCGTGAGTTTTACCGACAAAGGGATAAGCCACGCCCACAAAACTGCGATTCATTTTCAAGGTATCCTTCACATTAAAATTAAAATAAAAGTACACGTTAAGATATTTGCCTGTCTCCTTGCTATATATTACCGGATAAGGCATCCATATATCATCCCATACCATATATTCCGTGGGTTAGTATTAGGGTTACCATTATGGGAAAGTATTAGTGGTGGTAACAGTCGACTAAAGTAAAGCTTGAAAGATCAGAAATTTGTTATAATTTTCAGGTTGTAAAATGCTCAGACCAGCGACACATCCTCCTGTCCTGTAGTAGATTTTAGTCAAACGGCTTCTTTGACCTAGTTATATGTTGTGGCGAGCTTCATTCAGTTAAGTCTTTAATTTAAAAAAATCACAAGTGAATTATCTTTAATCATGAAATTAAAAAAATATTTTGATCATAATTACAGAACTTCTCAGGGGGATATATTACCATCATAGTTGACACGCTTTGCGGGGACGGCTTACCAAACTCAGTTTTTTCTTTATTAAAAATACTTTCATATAATAAATAATACAGAGGACTGAATTGGTTTTAAGTTGAGGTCGCATTTTTAAATCTTGTTGTCCTAACCTACGCCTTAGAGCCTTAGGTCTAAGAATAGATTTTTTTCTCATTGGAATTCATTTGTTTAATTTAACTAATGGTTCGGCAAAACTTCCGTCTTGGGAAGAACCGGCGAGAAACCCAGATGGACTTTTCCCAAAGTATATCATACAACTATCTGTTCCCCGCGACTTCGTCATTGTGAAATTTATTACAATTAGATTTTATGAGTATTTTTTTGCGCGGAACCATATATTTTTTATAGTAATTAAAATAGCTTAAGTTATTCATTATATCCGCTATCTGTCGATCGGTCCAGCCACTCCGAATGCCAGAACAAACAGACACAAAAAATTTAAAATTGTATTTTTTTGATATAAGTAGCGTAGATAATTTCATATGCATTTACTAAAAAGCTATTATTTTGACATCAATAACCGACTTAATTTGTGTATAGATAAGAACACAGGTTGTAAAAATACTTACAAAACTTGTTTAAGAAAAAGCATTTTGGAAGCGACCACGGCCAGAGGTTATTATCAACCATATATTGATTTATATTATAATAGCCCTTTTTATACAGTTAAACTCGGTAATAGAGAAACCTTATATATTTTCTGGGACTTTGTTATAGCGTATACATTTACCACGTGCTCGGAGGTTAAGGAAAACATCGTGAGGAAACCTGCATGTCTGAGGAATAAGAAATAATACTTCGAAGACATGTGAAGTTCGCCAACTCGCATTGGGGCATTGCGGCGGACAATTCCTTGCCCTAAAACCCCCTCAGAAATTAAGGGAGGCCTGTGCCCAGCAGTGGGACGTATATAGGCTGTAACTTTACTTTTTTTACTTTTATACATTGCCCCTTGGATGAATTACTGACACTGTGGAGTCGAGAATCTGTTTAAATCTACCAAAATGACAAACCGTTTGTCCTATGGGGGTGCCCCCATAACCAGCAGTGAACCACTTAATGAGTGTCTAAGGTCAAGCAAGATAATACAAGATTTAGTTCCTACCAGAATGCAAGGCGCTGGTTGATACGGTCATCGTAAACGAAGGCGGGGGCTACGTTCGGCGCGTGTGCGACCCGCGCGTAGTCTGTGAGTGGCGCAACGTTGCTCTGCGCCCATCGCGCCACGCCGTTCGGCGCGCGCATCGCACCTTGTTCTGAAAATACACAAACACAAAACTTTAAATTATATACATATAAATAAAATTGACGCGTCTGTCTGTAATATCGGAATAACTGTCTTGTTTAGGGTCTACCCACACGTACCGCAACCACACCACAACACGTGGTCGGGCGCATTTTATACAATTTAAATGTACCACATTTTGCCATCATTATCCACTGCGTGAGTGATACCGATCGCAACACAACCACCACTACGGAACCACACGGAACTAGCGGCCGGCCACATCGCAAAGACAACATTGCGTCGAGGCGACGCCACGACTAGGCAACTGCAAAAGGCTGTACAACGCAACTGCAAAAAGCTACAGCGACACTTTTTACACGTGACCAAATTTTCTCGCAGCGATGTGGTGTGGTTGTGGTATGTGTGGGCCGTCTCTTAAGGAGTATTTGCGTGCCAATAAGACATGAAAACCGTTTTTTAAATTTTTGATTTTTTGTCTGACCGGACTAATCTTTGGAATGGCTGCACAAATTGTAGTGAGACTTCACGGACAGGAATCAGAAAAGAAGCACGCATTGCTGCCTTTCAGCAATGCGTGATCTAGGCCATAATTTATCCGAAAAATTGGAGATTTATATTTGAGAAATCGTAAAATTTAAAAATAATTATATTTGATGATAATCATAAATCTAAATAACGCCACCTTAACAAATCATACCTAGAGCCGTGGTAGCTCAAATGGTTAGCGGTCGCTGTAAATTTGTTACAGTACGCGAGCAAACCGGGCTTGATCCCCGGCAGCACCAATGAAATTGTTAATTGCAATTTTAAGTACTGATTTACCACGTGCTCGGCGGTGAAGGAAAACATCGTGAGGAAACCTGCATGTCAGAGAAATAAGAAAAAAGATATTCCGAAGACATGAATCGATGATTTCTAAAACAACATAATTTACCAACATTTCTCTTGAGTCATTGTTAAAACAACACAAGTGCATACGATTGCGTTGTTTTAACAATGACCCTGGCAACACAGGCGAACGGCGCCGAAAGAAACGTCAGCTGGCAAGAAATATATATATATATATATATATATATATATATATATATATATATATATATATATATATATATATTACGTCTCACGTTGTTTGTCCGCGATGGACTCCGTGAACTTAACTGAAGTCCAAATTTGAACACCGTGTGCAGTTTAGTCCTACTTAAGAGATAGAATAGTTTTTTTGCCCACCCACACTCACACCTTTTTTTTTCGAATTTAAGAATTTTTAATAGGACATGACAAAGGGTCCTCGAAAAGGGCAGAACAATGTCTGCCTGGCAAGCTAGTATATATATATATATATATATATATATATATATATATATATATATATATCTATAACAATTAACCTGAGTAGGTAGTGTAAAATAATTGAGTTGATCATGTTAGGTAGGTATTTACTTTTATTTATTTAAACAATATTAATGAGGTGTGAGAAAGAGGTATGTAAGGATCGTGACACTTGACAATCTGTTCTCTCTGGCTACCCCGTTAGGGATTGTGCGTGAAGATAAGTAAGTAAGTAAGTAAACAATATTAATCACGCAATTAATTATTATAATAATATAATTTAATTACACAACTAACGCCCTCATTAATAACGACATGGTGATAGATAGATAGCAAGAGAGTTTATTGATGAAGATACCAAAAAATACATTATTAAGAGCTCTATACACTAATATATATATATATATATATTTTACTTGCATTATCAAAAATTGACCTGTTTTTTGTAACTCCTGTAAATTTTATTTTAAGTTAGTTGTGTTGTTTTAGAAATCATTGATTCCCATGTGAAAATCACCAACACGCGGGAGGCCTGTACCCAGGAGTGGAACGTATGTAGGCTGTAACTTGACTTTGCTTTTACTTTTATAGTTTACAAGTAATTCTTATTACAAGTAATTTTTATATTTTTAAAATGGCTCGGAAAAATCCTCTGTCCTGGTAAAGTAGTATTTACAATAAAATACAGGTTGTACAAATGCTTACAAAGCTCATATAAGAAACAGCTTGGAAGCGATAACTTTTGCGAGCTTTAAAAGAAAGAAAGAAAAAGAAACTTGCAGGATTACATAGTTTCTTCCGAGCGGAATTATATCTAAATATAATTCAAAAACGGCACGACCGATTTTAATGTAATTTTTTGTGTTTATTTGAGTAGATCTTCCGACAATTCACAGTTGAACCCGGTAGAGAATTGTAGAGAATAATAATTTATAGGTCAGATTAACTCGACACTTAAGCGCCGTACAAAAGCCATAACTTTCATGCTCTCGACAAGATAAAGGAGATCTAAGAAAATCCATGAATAGCGGCTCCACGGCGCGGCGTGTTTCCTATTGTCTTTTAACCGAGTTAAGTTATAGTTAACAAAAGCGAGTTTAGTTAGTCAAGTAGGTTTTGTTTGTCACAGAAAGATCTTCCAGATATTGGCTACATGCTATATCGTTGCAGATGAGCTTTAAGCTTTACGTAGTACAGTGCTATCATGATGTCTTGAGACCACTTCAGAGTTATCGTACTCCTCTGGGATTACAATACCAAAGGCCCTATTTACAATATCATCTAGGAATAGAATGCGCGTTCCTTTTTCTTAAAGGCCTGTTGGGTTTCTTCCTGGTTCTTCCTATAATAATAGTTTTCGAAGCCGCAGTAAATTAGTAAATTATATATATATATATATATATATATATATATATATATATATATATATATATATATATATATATATGGTCTTACTCGTAAAAATTTCAAGTCAATTTAAAAACTTTCTTTTCACTAATTGACAACAATAGAAAGAGACAAATATTGAGATCAATACTTAATATGAGTAAGCTAAAAAAAATCCTTGAAGATTACGATTCTACATTTTCAAAACGGTTTATTAGACCTATTTTAAACCTAAAAGGCGCTTATTGGAAATATACACGCGGCTAAAAAAAAAAACACAAGCGACGTTCAAATATTATTGAACTCGATTAAATAATACGTTATCAAATACATGCAAGTAGGTCACGCGAACAAAATCGTGAGAAAAGCCTGGCGTTACGATTCAATTTCAACTGTATATTATGGTAGTTACCAGTTAAACGATAATTATGTATTAAATACGGTAGGGTCATGATTCAGCTATAATATGGTTGGAGCACGAATTGGTCGATTCGACCGGGGAAGGACCATGATTGATAGCATTTTAATACTTAAGTAAAGAGGAAGAGACCACACGTTTACAGAGTTGCAGCTTAATGCTGCTGTGTTTCGTATGGTGAGTGTATAGAACCGGAGACCCTTTATACTGGAAACACCTGCATGTTTCATTGATGATAGATGAAATCTTGGCACACTGGGCGCGTTTATCACCGTTATTCTATTTAAAAAAAAACTATAAGTTTAGATCTATTTACTTGTTACATTTTCATACCAAATTGGGTTTGCCGTGATCACTGCAAGTAAACTGTCGATCGATAACCAGACCCTTCGGGAGGGAATGATTTTGGTCTAACTTATTTTATATATTTACAATATTTGCATTTTCCCGTGTCACCTTCAACGATATTCGCGGAACGGCCAGCCTCATGAATAGATTATTATAGTACATTGCTCAAAATGACCGGTGGATTACAACACGTACACAATAATACTAATATTTTTCTCTTTTTTTCTTCTTTTTTGCTCAGATGGTTAACGCTCGCTGTAAATATTGAACTGAACGCGAGTAACCCGGGTTCGATCCCCGCCGGCACCAATGAAATTGTTAATTGCAATTTTAAGTGCTGATTTACCACTTGGTCGGCGGTGAAGGAAAACATCGTGAGGAAACCTGCATGTCTGAGGTAAAAGAAAAAAAAATATTTCGAAGACATTTGAAGTTCGCCAACACGCATTGGGGCAGCGCGGCGAACACTTCCTTGCCCTAAAACCTTCTCAGAAATGAGGGGAGGCCTGTGCCCAGCAGTGGGACGTATATAGGCTGTAACTTTAAAAAGTTATAAGATCTCACCTTATTTTACTTGTGCTGTCTGGAATAGCAATGAGACCTTCTTTTGTTTTTCCCTCAACATTTGTTTATTTTTGTTCTATTTATCTTTACTCATAAAATTAGAAGATATAACCTTCTCTGTAGATCATAATGTGAAAAATTAACAATTGTTCACATTTCAATTATATTTGACTGTAAGCGAAAATTACAATTTAGCCTTGCATTTATAGGCTCTTACGCGGATTTCGAGGCCGCAGAGATAGCTGGAGTGGTGAATCGTAAAACTGACATTGATCTCTTCTCGCGGCACCATCACCGTATCAGACGTACGGCCACAGAGGCGGGGAAAAAAGGACAAGTAACGCCTTGCCATACCTCATCTAGTCCACCCACCACTCATACGGAGTGGGCCCGCCAATCTGAGTAGCCTCCTGGGGCTAGTCCTTCACCTCGGGCAAGCTATGTTGCCTCTTAGTTCACTGTGTCACACACCAAGTCACGGCTACTAAGCCTTTACGACAAAGCGAAGTCGTACCGAAGAAATATTAGGTCACCCTATTGTAACATGTTAAAATACATATAAACTTAGATATGAGGATATCCGCAGTAGAACCAGAGTGACCGACATAGCCCAACGGATTAGTAAGCTGAAGTGGCGGCAATGTGCCGGCCATATAGCTCGAAGAACCGACAACCGATGGGGAAGACATGTTCTCGAGTGGCTGACGAAATGTAGAGTTGCCACTTAATAAATGGACTGACGACCTGGTAAGACCAGTTTTTCCACCAGAGATTTTTCCGGACCGATACGACTTAGGGACCTTCAAGAAAAGAGCCTACTCCTTTTTAAAAGGCCGGCAACGCATCTGCAATCCCTCTTGTGTTGCAGCTGTTCATGGGCGACGGTAATCACTTCATCAGTTGAGCCGTATGCTCGTTTGCTCCTCCCCTATAAAAAAAGACATGCAGGAA